ATAGGAACAACATCAAAAGAATATTTTGTTTGTATTATATTCGCACTTTTACCCGGTGTAAAGTGTTTTGTTGAAATTATATTCACCCTCTTTCCAAGGGTTGAATGGTTTGTTTGTTGGATTCACGCTTTTTTCCAAGTGTTGAATAATTTGTTTCTTGTTAGATTCACGCTTTTTTCCAAGTGTTGAATATTTTGTTTGTCTTCTGTTGTATTGTGCCCGGTAGTTCGGTGTTGTTGAGCCGATCACAATACACAGGTTTTTTTATATATTCTCGCCGCCTTGTTGTGTTGAATATTTTGTTTGGTTTCTGTTGTATTGTGCCCGGTAGTTCGGTGGTGTTGAGCCGATCACAATACACAGGTTTTTACATATTCTCACCGCCTTGTTGTGTAGAATATTTTGGTTTGACATTTGTTGTATTGTGCCCGGTAGTTCGGTTTTGTTGAGCCGATCACAATACACAGGTTTTTACATATTCTCACCGCCTTGTTGTGTAGAATATTTTGGTTTGACATTTGTTGTATTGTGCCCGGTAGTTCGGTGGTGTGGTGCCTATACAGGTTTTTATATATATTCGCACCGCCTTGTTGTGTTGAATATTTTGTTTGCTTTCTGTTGTATTGTGCCCGGTAGTTCGGTGGTGTGGAGCCGATCACAATACACAGGTTTTTATATATTCGCACCGCCTTGTTGTGTCGAATATATAAACCTTGTTCGCATTTTTGGAAATGTGTTTTTCGTTTTGCCAATTTTAGGGTGAAGCATTTTTTATAACTCCATTAGAGTCGGTGACGAAGGTGTCCAACCGCACTCCTTGGATATTGTTATCTTTATTAGATATTCAATTCCTAATGGATGTTGTTTTGTGAGGTTTATTTTGTTGTTGTCTGGGGTTTGTTTTGTACAGTTTTATAGCTCCATTAGAGTCGGCGACGAAGGTGTCCAACCGCACTCCTTGGAAGTTGTTATCTTTGTTAGATATTCAATTCCTAATGGTTGTTTCATTTGGGGATTTGTGTGTGACAAACAAAATCACACAAGCTCACAAAGAGCTTGTGTGATTTTGTTTGTAGAGCTTTTGATTGTGTATTTGATTTTCAGAGTCCTTTTTTGCGATTGGATTTTTGTATTCTTAGAGTCTGTAGAGTTTTCGTGAAGTTTTTGTAGAGTAAATTTTGGAGTTTAGATGTTTTCAGATCTTTTTGTTTGTTGTATGTTTTGTTTGGTATTGACTTTTCGGCATAAAAGAAAGAGTCCTTTCTTTTTTTTTGGGAAGGTACGTAATGTAACGGTGCATTTCGCACCATTACAGAAAATTTTATTATCGACGTGTTTTTAGTTTGACAGTTGAAGTTTCTGACGTTTCAGTAAGGCACAGAGAGATGGCGTCACAGTCGAGATTTTTTTAAGCCTATTTGAATGACTGTGTTATCGATTCGGTCTATGGAATTATATAGTCTGTGGACGTATTCGTTCGATTTGAGTTGTTTGCACTCTATATTGCTCTGGCCACACTATTTTTGACTTCAGCATTTTGGCTGGGTCGGAGTAAGATGTAAGGCCTGTTGGCCATTTTTGTAATTTTGGAAATGTAATCCGTTTCAATTTGTTGTAATCAGAGGATTTATTCACTTTTTATTGTTGGCCAGTCTTGTTAAGCAAACGAGTTTTTTATTGGAAATATTAGTTTGCTTTTTTGGTAAGTTTTAATTCGCCCCGTGTTTCGTACTTTGCTTATGGAGACTAGTTGTTTTAAATCTTTGTTTACTTGGTTACAGGAATTATTAGTAATGCCTCTGATTTATTTGTGAAACGTTTTGGAACCCTGGTGAGTAAATTATTGTATCTTACCAGACTTAGATTTCATCTTTGGAGATTGGCAAATAACCTAAAATTCTCGTTGTTGCAGTGTCAAACAGGGTTTTTTCTTTACCTCAGTTTTTTTTTATTAGTTTGGCTTTCCTTCTTATTAGATTGTAATGTCCATACGTTACAATTAGTTTTTACCTCACTACCTGCCGATCCAAGGATTTAGTTTGCTTCGGAGTGTGGCTTTCCTTTCCTAAGTACCTCTAATGGCAGGAAAAGACCTTTGGTTGTAGCCCATTAACAGGATCTGCTTGGGACCGGAACCAGGAAGCTTGGATTACTTACCCCACCACTACAACCACGTGGGAGCACGAGTGAGCTTTATAAGAGTTAATTATACCCTAATTTCAAACGGACAGAGCCAGAGTCATTTGGTACGTTTTTTTGTTGTATTAATTTTGTCGGCGTTGTCATCACGGATACTGTAGGCTCTAAGGGGTGTTATTTTTATCATGGGAGTAGGTCGTTATGATAACTACCGTTAGTTTCTTATTTATTCATCAGTCCTTATGTGACTTTTATAAATATTTTACTTTTAATTTGTATTAGCAAGGTAAACAGATTGCATTAATTACAGTACTAATTTGAGTATAAGAATTACATTTGTAATTAGACCTATAATATACCATGTACTCTACAGACGCTACGGGATAATAAACTGCCACTTAAGCTAAAACATCTCTTTATTTAATAGCTGCCCCCCACCCTAGATTAAAGGTCTAGCGCTGACCGAGCTGTTCGAGGCATTCATTGTATTTGTTATTAGTTGTCTGTGTTCATTTAAGATTAAGGCACCTGGCACCCGAGATTATTAGTTTTGTTAGAATTTGTGGTGCTGCACTAGTTAGTTTATTCATTGATTTGGAACATAGATTACATTAACATTACATTAAAAACATTTTTTTTTTTTTTTTATATTACATGTTATTTCTTTTAGTACAAGTGCATCTGTTGAAATCAACAATCCGTCATCAACAACAATCCGTACAGACACAAATAAAAACATTTATTATTAACTCGTCCAATATATACACATTGGTCAGCGTTGCTGTTGACAAAGCCAAACTTCTTAAGTACAGAGTCGAACTTATTGTTCCAGCACCGTGGAGCCTGTTTCAATCCATAGAGACTTTTGTTGAGTTTGCAAACAACGTTTTCTGCAAAAAATAAGGCCTTTTGGTGATTTCATAAATATGGTTTCTTCAAGTTCTCCATATAAAAATGCTGTTTTGACATCTAGCTGAATGATCTTAAGATTATTTTGTACAGCTACAGAAAGTAACAAGCGTACTGAGTTATGACCTGACCGTTGGTGCAAAGGTTTCCTGATAATCAATGCCTTTGGTTTGAGCTTACCCTTTTGCACATAGGCGATATTTATACCTTGGTCCAGTTGGTTCCTCCTTAATTCGAAACACCCATTTACAGTGTATTACTTTTGCATTTACAGGTTTTTCAACCAGTGTCCAGGTATTATTTTTCTGATGAGCATTCAGTTCCTCATGAATAGAATTTATCCATTTGTCTTTATTTATTGAGTTTACTGCTTTTTTATATGTCATTGGAACATCTGCAGGGTAGTGTTCATGTTGACACAGGTAGATAGTTTCTTTTGCATTATCCAGTTTTACATCCTCAACTCTATTCTTTCTTGGTCTCAAAGTTATAGTTCTAACTGGAAAGGAATCTAACCTAATATCTGGTGTATATTCACTGTCTGAGGATGATTTATTTTCACATACAGTATCATATGAACTTATACTAGAATCATCTGCATCTCCTGTTTCAGTGGTATCATTTTCTCTACTGTCATTCTTATTTATTGTAGAATTTTTCTCGGACAGTTCTACCAGTACTTAGTATCGGTAGATTCTAGAAAGTATTTAACGGTAGATTCTAGAAATATAGCATCCATGCTTTTTATCACTTTTCTAGATTCTGGCAACATAAATCTATAGCCTTTAGTATGATCACAATAACCAATTGTAAACGCCGTTTACGCCATATTATTACTCACGTATTTATTCTATTATTTTATATTTAAATATTACTCAATCACTCATTACACGTTTCTGAACGCATCAAACACACACCCTTTATTCCTTCCCCCTTTCCCCGCTCCGCATATCCTAGAACCATTTTGAAATGAACTAGTAGTCTGACGCTATTCTCAAGACGCGGAAGTTGGTCGTCGTCTCTTACTCGTCAAGTCGTCTCCTCGCTCTCAAGTCACACGTCACTCCGTTACTCCCACCCGCTCTAAACACCGGGAATCCTACGCCGGCGCCACGTTAATAAAGAAAACAACTATAAGTGCGCGTGTGATTCTCATTAAAAACACTCTCATCGCAAAGTGTGTTGTACGTGACGCTGTTGAACCAGCCCCTATAGACTCCAAGAGCAAGATCTATACAGCCATCCACCTATCCCACGTAAGTCACATACACCAATGAAGATCATTTTCTGTGCTTTAGGATCCCACTTTTTGCGTTTTTCTTGGGGTGTAACATTGCTTCACAACCAAAAATGCGCATGTGTTTCACATTTGGTTTTTCTCCAGACCACATCTCTTCAGGCGTTTTAAATGATAAGGACTTGGTTGGTGAACGGTATATAAGCAGCGGTATGTACTGCATCAGCCCAAAATCGTTTTGACAGATTTGCATTAAGAAGCATACATTTTGCTCTTTCAATTAGACTTCTATTCATGCGTTCCGCAGTCCCATTTTGTTCTGGTATGTATGGTGTGGTCGTTTGATGTATGATACCTGCACCTTTTAAGTATTCAGATAAATTCTTGTTGACATATTCCAAGCCATTTTCCGTTCGAAGAATTTTTATATGAGCATCAAGTTGATTTTCTACTTCATGTCTAAATTCTTTAAATTTTTCTAATGCGTCCGACTTGTTCCGTAAAAAATACACATAAACTTTCTTGGAGTTGTCATCAAGAAAAGTTATAAAGTATCTGGCACCACCTAATGTTTGTGTCTCCATAGGGCCACATATATCTGAGTGGATCAATTGAAGCGGACCCCCTGCTTTGTTTCCTTCACTTTTAAAAGGAAGTCGTGTCTGTTTACCTTCTTTACAGGTAGTGCATGTAAGATTTTCTGGACCACCTGGTTTCACAGGAAGGTATCTTGTTCTTCAACATCAGATATGCATGGATAGCCTCCTCCGGGCATATTCAGCCGGTACATGTTTTTGATAATACTAGCTGTCGCTACTATCTGACCTCTGTTATTCATAATAACACAGCCAGTTTGGTCAAATCTTACTTGGCCCCCATTGCGAATAATCTGACTCACTGACAATAAGGTAGTTGCAAGTTCTGGAACACATAACACATTTGTAAACAGTACCTTGTTTTCTTGACCTTTTTCATTGTAAGTATTTAATCTCACTTGACCTGAGCATTGCACTGATAATACATTATTGTCTGCTACTCTAATCTTCTTAATACCAGAGGAAGTTTCATTCTGAAGCAAATTTTTATCTTTGACCATGTGCGAAGATGCACCCGAGTCCACATACCAGGCGTCACATTGTGCAGTTGTCGCTATAAATGCAGCAGCGTATGATGAACTACTACTTTTGTGGTATGTTTTAGGTTTGTACTTACATTCTGTGCTTTTATGTCCATACTTTTTACAGGTATAGCACCGTGGTCTAACTGTAAATGCTTTTTTATCATCTTCAGACGGTCTGACGTCTTGTAATAATTTTGCTTTAACAGAATCCGAAGTAATTTTCATGCCTGAGCTTTCTAAAGCAATTATTATTGGTTGGTAAGATTCTGGCAGACCAGAGAGCAGTTGTGTGCCTAGCCACTCGTCGTCAACCTTAAAACCAGTGTTTCTGAGCTTGTGAGCTGTGCTCATTATTTTGCTTACATACTCCTCTAGGTTTCGACATCCCGTTAGTGACGTATTACACAGATCATGCAGCAAACCAATTCGGCGTGATAGCCCAGAGTCGTCGAATGTTGATGGCAGCTTATTCCATACTTCTCTGGCAGTATGAGCCTCTTGAATGTGCACATAATTTGTGAAATCAACTGAGAGAATAATTTTTGTCTTTGCTTTAGTATCTCGTTTTGGATCTGGTTCTGATTCAGATTCTATACAGTCCCACAATTCTTCATGTTGAAGATATATTTGCATTGCAAAGCGCCAAGTTGCGTAATTTTCACGACCAGATGCCTTTTCGATGAGTGCCATTTGATTGTTTGATGCCATTTTAAATAAATTTACTCAGTTTCTACAAGAGTACTTTGGAAAAGTTCAAATAAAAAAAAAACACGTTGTCACTTCTAGGTTATGTTCACATTAAATGTCTTTGAAAACTTTTTAGTGACAGATTTCGCACTGATTATTATTTCTTAGCTTTCTAGGCAAATAACCTGTTGGGTTTAGGCAAATCACAACTACTATATTGCACTAAATGACTTTATTTAAAAATAAACTTGTGATAATACATACAGTCACTACGATGTCATGGAGCAGAGAGAAAAAAAAAACCATAACGTTAAAGAGCGGCTAGTGTGACAAGGTGTAAAATTCTAAAATTACATTCAACAGATTTTTACGGAAAAACTGCGGTTTTTTAGATAGTTTTGACACAGGTCAGCAAAGGTCCCCTTATGTCACAGTTACTAATTCTATTTATTAATTTGTTGTGGTCTAAAACATCGAATGCGCGGGAAAAATCTATGAACAGAGCAAGTACTATTTCTTTTGAATTTAGATGTGTATTGACCTCATCTGAGAATGCAGAGAATAGTAACTTTTAAACTTTCGCGTTCCATGATAATTAATATTATTTTAACGGGAATTAACGCGATCTTTTATTTAGGGTATTACATACCTCTGGTTTGCCTGACGTTTCGACCAGACCAGACCTGACTCAGCCTGTGACCATGACTGTGACGTGGTCACAGGAGTCAGCCTGTGACCACGTCACAGTCATGGTAACACACATTTGCGTAACTCCCTTGACATAAGGCATATAGGCCGGTTGCCTGTTCACTTCTGGATACTTGCGTCTTATTTTCGGTTGCTTCCGTCCTCCTTTCACTTGATATCCGTTACCTTTGAGTACCTCCTGAACATGTTTTAGCTCCTGTTCTAAATGTTCAGGGTCACAGAGATCGTAAGCTCTGTTTTTGAGTGAAGTCATAACAGATTGCAAGTGCCGGGGGTGATTTTTACGACCAGTCTTTAACTGTTCAAGCTGTACGCTTATGGAATGCACTGCCGATAAACATAAGGCAAGTGAAAACTATAAACAGCTTTAAGAAAATGGTCCAAGAATTTATGGTATCGTAATTAAGACAGCTACTTCCTCGTGTTAAGGTATGATTTAAATGCTTTTCTTTTTTTTTTTTTTTTTATATGTGATATTGTATAAGTACTTATGTATATATACTTGCTGGTATGTATAGATAAGTATTTGTTTTTATGAATATAAATATGTATGTGTATTATTTATGTATGTGTGTATATTTCTTATATTATGTATATGTAGTTATTATCTCTTTTATATTCGTTAGTAATTAACCTAAAAAACTCATTTTGATCCATCTTTTTTTTTTTTTTTTTTTACGTGTGGAAATCCCCTCGGACGGGGCGGTGTGTCGGACTCGAACCGACTAAAACCACACGGTGTGCCCTCTTTGCGCTTCCAGTTTAGGAAGGGTCCAGGTAGCTATTTCCTTCTGGACCCCTCCCAGCGCCGGCCCGCTCCTGGCGCGGGCTCCGTCTCAGTGGACCCTCTCTTTAGGCGGCGTCCGGCACACGCGGACGCCGACCCCTCGCGGCTGGCCAACTAATGCGGGTGGAGGGGAGAACCCATCCCGTCCACCCGCGGCCACACTCAGGGCGGCATGAGGCGCAGGTAAGCGCGCCTCCGCCGCCCGGTTCGCCGGCGGCGGATCAGGTCCGAGTGGAGGTCGTCCTCCCGGGCCTTCTCCGCCGCCTCCTTCTGCGAGATTACCTCCTCGCAGAAGGTTGCGACCGCGGTAAAACAACTGTCGCTACCGGCCATGGAGCGAATTACGGCCGGTAGCGAGAGATCTGCTCCAATGACTGCAGTGAGGGCCCGGCGCTGCGTCGCCCATGCGGGGCAAACCGCCAGCGTGTGCTGGGCCGAATCCTCACTGCAGTCGCAGTGGTGGCAGGCGGGACTCGATTCCCTCCTAGCGAGCGAGTACAGGTACTTTCCGAAGCAACCGTGCCCGGAAAGCACCTGCGTCAGCCGGAAGGAAAGGGTCCCGTGCTGCCGCCCTGCCCACTCGGCGATGACCGGCTGGAGAGCCTCCACGGCGGCGAAGCCAGCGCGTGGAGTCCCCAGCCGGAACGACCATCTCACCATGGTGGCTCGGCAAGCGGCTTCGCGCCACTCGCGCACGTCTTCGGGCGGAGGGCGAAATCCGCTCTCCGCCCGGAAGTCAGCCACTCGCCGATAAACTTCGGCGAGCACTTCCGCCTCCAAATCCCACGGGGGTGTTCCGGCCAAGGCACAGGCCGCCTCGGTGGACACCGTGCGGTATCCGCGTATGGCTCTGACCGCCAATATCCTCTGGGGGCGCCAGAGGCGCGCCCTATTCGGGGCGGTCAGAGCCGCCGCCCACACCGGTGCACCATACAGCGCCATGGACCGGACAACCCCCGCGTACAGCCGCCTTGTGGGAACACTGGCCCCGCCCAAATTGGGCAAAAGTCGCCCTAGGGCGCAGGCAGTGTCCACCAGCTTCGGACCAAGCTGTCGGAAGTGCTCGTCGAAGAGCCACCTACCGTCTAGGACCATACCCAGATACCTCATCTGGGCCCGGACCGGTACGAGGACCGAGCCGACCTCGATTGAGGCGCCGGCGGGCGGACCGCGACGGGGCCCATGAAATAATAGGGCCTCCGTCTTAACCAGGGCCACCCGTAATCCCAACGCCTCAATGCGCCCGACCACCTGGGAAACTCCCGTGGTGGCCAGGCGCGCCGCCTCCTGGAAGTTAGCCCCCCGGGTCGTGAGTAAGGTGTCATCCGCGTAGCAGATTACACCCAGCCCGGGGGGGGAGACGCCCTCGTAGGGCCCAGTCGTACCCGATGTTCCACAGGAGAGGTCCTAGGACAGACCCCTGCGGAACACCGCAGGACATGGCCCTGCGTCTCAAGACGCCATCTCGGTCCTCGTACATGACGGTTCGCTCCTCAAGATAGTCTGCCACCAGCCGCCTCAGGTACTCCGGCACTCCGTGGTAGCGGTGCGCTTCCCTGATGCAGCTGAATGGCAGACTATTGAAGGCGTTGGCGATGTCCAAGGACACCGCCAACACCACTCCGCCGCAGCTCACGGCCTCCTCGGTCACGGCCCTAAGGCGCATCACGGCATCGATCGTCGAACGCCCCTCTCGGAAACCGAATTGGGCGTCCGACAGATCGGGGCCAACCTCGCAAAGGTGCCGGACGATGCGGGCAGAGAGCACCCTCTCAAAAAGTTTGCCCGCCTCGTCCAACAACACGATAGGCCTATAGGCCGCGACCGATTCGGTAGGCCGTCCCGGCTTCTGCAGCAGGACCAGCTTCCCGCATTTCCAGCGCTCAGGGAAGCGTCCGGACGCCAGGCTAGCGTCCAACACCCCCCTGAGGTGGTCCGACATGTAGTCGAGGGCTCGGGCCATCACTCGGGCTGGAACCCCGTCCGGCCCGGGGGCGGTGTTCTTGGATCGAATCCGTAGAACAGCCGCCCCCAACTCCGATTTCCTGACGGGCGGAACATCAACCTCGCTGCCCCCGTCGTCTCCGGCTGATGCAGCCATCGACGGGGGTGTGTGCTCCGCCCGCTGCGGGAATAGGCCCTCGACCACTTCCTGCAGGAAGCTGGGCTGGAGAGTCTCCGTAAGGGGGGGGCCCGACGTGCGGAGCTTTTGACGCATCGCACGATAAGGGCGACCCCAGGGGTCACGCTCGAGACTTTCCATCATCTCCTCTCTACACGCATCCTTGGCGCGGCAGATGGCCAGCCTCAGAGTTTTCCGAGCTTCTCGGTACTCCTCATGAAGCCGGTCCACCTCCTCACCGACCCCGCGGTGACGTCGCCGACTACGGGTGAGGGACCTCCGGGCACGTACACAGGCCGCACGGAGGTCCGCCAACTCCTGGGACCACCAGTAGACCTCCTTCCTTGGAGGCCGACAACCACGAACGCGGGGCATGGCCGCATCGCAAATCTGCGTAATCGCATTGCAGAAGCGACCAGCCCCCATGTCGACCTCCTCGGTCGGGGCCTGCGGAGACAGCCAAGAGTGAATAATGGCCGCCTCCTCTAGTAGGTCCCTGTCGAGCTTGGCGACAGCCCACCGCGGGAAGCGGGAATGGCGCCGCGCCGCGTGACCCCTACTGGGGTCCTGGGACCGGGAGAGCTCGAATCGGATGTACAAATGATCCGAGAGCGTCTCGACCTCTTCCAGGGCACACCAGTTCCTTACTCGTGCGGCGACTGCAGGGGTAGCGAACGAAAGGTCCACTATCGACCCCCCCTGCTGTCGCACGCACGTGTTGGTGGAGCCTCTGTTCAGCAAACAGAGGCCCACCGACGCCGCCCACTCCTCGACGGCTTCGCCCCTGGCGTCCGTCGCAGGGGAACCCCACGCAATGGACATTTTGATCCATCCTAAGGTAGCCTGGAAGAGATTGCTCTTAGCAATAAGGCCGCCCTTTGTACCTTGTATTTCTAACACTTTCATTTAACTGTCATGCTTCTTGTAAAATGGTGTACAAATAAAGACTTCTATCTATCTATCTACTTGGTCGCAGATTGACATAGCGAGAGGTATATTTTAACCAAAAGTTAAAATGTCGAGATTCTCGAAGACATTTAAATATATGGATCGTGCTCCGTGATCTTGTTTTTAATTTGTTTATGTATCGCAGTTTGTTATCTAAATATTTGCATTTCTAAGTACCTAACAGAAGTCGCGGGTTTTATTGTTCGACAATTGCATCATGTTCTGTTAATACAGTTATGTGCAGTGATTCTGTATTTTTCTGGTAGTCTACCAATGTTTCTGATCGTGAAAGTCATGTAATTTGTCTTTTAGTGTTAGTAGGATCGAGTTTAACCATCGCATGACCTCAGTGATACAGTATTCCGCATTTGCTTTAGCAACGCTTAGGACTTGCAAGTTAGTTACAAATCAATGGCTGCACACCCTGAACTATGAAGAACTTGAACTTATGGCTAC